CTGGTGGTTTTTTCGGGGGTTGCTCTTGTTCAGGTTCGGATTCCGATTCTGATTCCGATCCCGATTCAGTATCAGCGTTTCCCGGCGAAGAAACTTCCATCTCCTCGCCGGATTCTTCTTCTTCTTCTTTCTCGGGACGACTCTTGGCCATTGGAGAGTGTAAGCGATTAGGGCAAAAGAGTGTAGCTGCTGCCTCCTCTTAAATAAAGTGGGGGAGGCTATTGAGAATTAAACACTTAAATTTTCAAGGTTATTCAAATTAAAATTAGTTCAAAATTTAAAAGAATACTATTCTTTCCATCCAAATCTTTTTTTATTTTTTATTTTTTTTATGAATTTTCAGAACTATATTGACGAAGGAACAAGTCTATTATCCATATCTAAAAATACAATTAAAATTAAAATTAAAAGAAATAGAAATAAAAGACAAAACCCATTTCCTCTCTATAAACATATTCATTTGTTTAGGGATTTCTAATTTAGCTTCTCGTCATTACGGCTTTTATTATGGTTACCTAAACCCTAAATCCTAAACCCTAAACCGTGAACCTCTTATTTTCAACTCTTTTATCATTTCTGCCTGACCTCTTGTTAATTTCATATTTGGTCTTCTAACTTTTATCAACATATACATGCTTCCGGTAACACATTATGAACGACTCTTTATAGTGAAGTATTCTTCCCCTCATGCTTTATTTTGTTCCTTCTCTTCCATAGTTTCCATATTATAAAACTAGAAATAGCTCTAGAGTATGGTTTCAAACGTTGTTTATTGTTTGTTCCCTACCAAAGCATTATAACTTTTACCAAAGGCAATCATGCGAATTTGAAATCCCTCAATCCAAACATCTTTTCCAAGAGAGTATTCATTCCATTCATTTTGTTTGTCATATTTTTTTCACGATCCTTGAAATAGGGGAAACAAAGTCAATATCCTGTAAGAGTAAAATAATTACAAAACATATATTTCTTTATATTCATATCCCGCTAAATAATTACACTATATACTCTCCAACTAATTTCATTTAATTGATATCAAATCAGTATTATATATTGTATTGATATCATTAAGACTGATACTTTAGCTTAATTGGTACTAAATCAATATCATATAATGTATTGATATTATTAAGGATGATAATTTTACTTTATTAAAATAGTATATATTGTATTGGTATCATTAAGGATTTCTTGTTCAGAAATTTCTAATTAGTCAATGATACTCTTAGCTAGCGTTTGGGCCATAGATTTCCAAATATTCTTGGCAAATATTATTTGAGTGAAAATTTGGGTGAAATTTCACCATGTGTTTGGCCATAAAATTTGGGAAATATATTTCACCTTTTTAGAAAAATATGATTTATACACACAAGTTTTAAAAATTATCAAAACTAACTAAAAGTTTGTATTACAAGTCAATTGAATGTTAGTTACAACAATAACAAATAATGTCCATGACACTGAAGCAATGTGGTAATTTGGAGTGAGTGCAACAAGAATTATTCCATACATCGTGAAGTAGATAAAGTACATGACTTTGTTACCTAAAGCCAATTTTTAATAATTTTCATCAACAATCATAGCATTATTTAATATTCACTAAATATTTCATCACTATTTTGGTGTTCACGTAAAAAATGATGTAATACAACGCAAGCAAATACTAGAGAGGTTGTTTTTGTAAAAGATAAAAACTTGGGGTAAAATTTTAATTTTTAAAATATCCCAAATAATGATATTTGGCCCAAATACTTAGAAAAAACTAGTATTTGGAAATTTGGGATATTTGCCAAAAATATTTGTCAAATAATGACAAATGGTATGGACAAACATTATTTGCCAAATTTTTCCCAAATATTATTTGGAAAATTTATGGCCAAATGGGCCCTTATAGTAGTGGGCAGTTTTTGAACAGGAAACCATAATGATATCTAACATATATGTATAATCTTATAGTATCATTGATTAATGAGTAAATTCTGAACAAAAAATTTTAATGATACCACAACCATGTACTTATACTAATTTAGTTACATTGACTAATGATTAATTTCTAAACAAGAAACTTCAATTATGTTAATACAATATATGATACTGATTTGTATCAAATAAGCAAAAACTATCAGCTTTAATGATACAAATACAGTATATGTTACTGCTTCTTATATCAGTTAAACAAAAATTATCAATCTTAATGAATTAGGGGTGTGGACTGTAGTTATTTATGAGAGAATGGATATTTCATGAATTACTTTGAACTTGGGTATAAAGTTGTAATTATTATAAATTTTATGGCTCATTTATGTAATTTCCCCTTGAAAATATTCTTTCTTTGTTCCATATTAGTTGATCATTATATTAAATATAAATAGCTCGTAATAGTTGATCACCTTATTAAATCAAAAAACCATAAATTATTTTTTTTCTATATTATTCTTATAGTTAATTCTTTTTGAAGTGTATTTATAAAATTTCCAAAAAGTTTTTAATTATTTGTGGTTCTTTTAAGTACCATGTAAAGGGAAATATAATCAACTAATATAAGACATTAGGAGTAGTTTCAATTATTCAAGTTTTAAGTCATGTTTGCTTTTACATGCTTATCAAGAAAATATTAACTATAAGATTATTTTATCATTAGTTGTATTTAAAATATAATTTTTTTTATCATTGATTATTTGTTTTATTTGAATAAGTGGCGTTTGTAGTTCAAAAATGATTACTACAAAGGATAAAATTAAAAAGAGTTCAGAAAAAGGCCTAAAATATTTTTAAAGTATTAAAAATGGTATAAAATTACTCTTCATCCATCTATTGGCTCCAAAATATCCTTTTCATCCACCTTTTGGCTCAAAAATACTTTTTTCATTCACCTTTGATTCAAAATTAACCACTTATTTAATGATTTTAAATTTAAACTACTTAAATATTTTTTAAATACACGACGCTCAACTATTTGTTATAATTTAACTTATTAATATAATTTATTAACCAATCTACTATCCACCCATTACTAATTAAACCACAGTCAATTGATAAACCCGCTCCATTACTAATGCACAATAAGAAAGCTACTACAATGAGTGTTTCTAAAAATTTTAGGCGAAAATGTCTATAGAAGTACATTATCATACATTCAAGTCCTTAATCAAAATTATAATTCAAATGTCTAAATAAAAATTGTCGATAAACTTAAAAGTCTGACTATATTCATCTTAATTATTTATTCGCCTCAATTATTTAATGTTACTTAATAGATAACTTTTTAAAAAAAAGAATATAATAAAGTTTTAATATTTAAAACAAATAATAAATATTTATAAAATTATATTTAAAAGTGCATGAATTAATTCCAGAGGTGCTACTTCTTTACCTTTAATCATAAATTTCGAATTCAAGCTTGAAACAAAATCCTATTGAAAGTTTCCTCCTAAATAAGCGACTTAACATAAATTCAATTGATGTTTCAATTCAGAATCAATAATTTTGAATGTCATTTTCAGGAATCGATAGTTTCATCGTGCTTTAGTAGTGTTTAGGGTGATTTTGAAATTAGAAATGGTTTGTTAATTGTGTGGGCTTAATTAGTAATTGATGGGTAGTGACTTGGTTTATAAATCATATTAATAAATTAAATTATATCCAATAGTTGAGCGCCAAGTATTTTGAAAAATATTTAAATAGTTTAAATTTAAAACCGTTAAATAAGTAGTCAATTTTGAACCCAAATGTGGATGACAAGGGTATTTTGGAGCCAATAGGTGGGTGAAAAAAGTATGTTGCAATACTTCAAGAGTATTTTAGGCCCTTTTTCGAAAAAAAATTATTAAATTTTGTGAAAATAAATAATTTGAGATAATTATTACTCACTCGGTCCCTTTTTACTTGTCCACTTTTGAATTGACACACCTATTAAGAAAATAATTAATGACATAGTGAGTTACCATTTTATCCCTATTAATTATGAAGTGGATGAAAACATTTTTCAAAGTAATTAGTCATTTAATTGTGGATATAATAGGAAAAAAAATTGTTCTTTCTTGATTTGTCAAAATAGATAAGTAATTAGGGACAACTATAAAGGAAAAAATAGACAAATAACTAGGGACACAGATAGTATAGATCACAATTTATTTTCTTTTAAGGAATAATTTGACTAAATTATACTTTGATCTCAAATTAATATTATTGCTATCTTTTTCCACACTAATTGATTGAAAGATAGGAAAAATAGTAATGTTGGTCCTCAAATAATTATCTCATTGTAATTCTGATCCTTCTATCATACAACTTAACAAATTTTACCTTCAACTAATAATTGCTAAAGTTTATACATTTGATAATAATTGTCTAAAGCAACCATATATGTTCATTCTCAACTATCCTTTTACTTCTACCACTACTCAATTGTTATCTTTTAACTGAATATTTAATCTACTTCCATAATTGTTTTATTGATGATTGGAGTCTGGCAATGTCCTAATGTACCTATAATTATATAATTATTTTACCTTTTTAACTCTTATGTCAATGTAGAATCTGTTAAATACTTGGGTTATTCCTGATTAAGAAAATGTTAAACATTCATTAACGTATTATAATTAAATATTAGAAGTTAAATGCGCCATGTCATGTAGTAAGGCCGTTCTGTTGACTTGTTGAATTAGGTATCAAATTAGGGTTGATGGACGTATTAAAATAATTAACTATATGAACTATAAATTTCAAATAAGCTATTAATTAATTAAAGAACGAAGAACTTATTTATCCACAAAACTTTGATTGAAATACGTTTGGGTTCTTTAATTGCTCATCTCGAGAGAACCCTTCTCAATAAAACTTGCTAATTAACAAGGATGTATAAGAATCGTTCGATTGAATAGTGCTTGGATAAAAAAAATATAGGTTAACGACACATGAGCACAAGCAAACCCTAGAGAATCATCCGGCATCAAATTGATATCCCCAAAACAGAAATCCACCGCAACACTGCGACTATATCGGAAAGGTTTCAAACAACTTGCTGAAAACATGATCAGGATGAACATTGAATGTATCTTGTAAAGAGAATACGAATAAAATGGACTATATATTGTCAAATACCCAGTAATCCACAACCATCCATATCTATTATCCTATCCAATACGACTATCCTAAAGAACAGAGAAAAAAACAGAATTGCAAAAGAGGCTTTAGCAATCTAAGTAACGACAAAGCTAGGCATTCTAAGCCCTTTCACCCCTAATCCTTCTAGCAAGCTGAATGTCCTTGGGCATGATTGTGACACGCTTGGCGTGAATAGCACACAGATTTGTATCTTCAAAAAGCCCAACAAGGTAAGCCTCAGCTGCCTCTTGCAAAGCCAACACAGCATGGCTCTGGAAACGCAAATCAGTCTTGAAGTCCTGAGCAATTTCACGAACAAGCCTCTGGAATGGCAACTTCCTGATCAATAGCTCAGTACTCTTCTGGTACTTGCGGATTTCACGAAGAGCAACGGTTCCAGGCCTGTATCTGTGAGGCTTCTTGACTCCTCCAGTTGTTGGGGCAGATTTCCTGGCGGCCTTGGTGGCTAGTTGCTTCCTTGGAGCCTTTCCTCCAGTGGATTTACGGGCAGTTTGCTTCGTACGAGCCATCTGACTTTCTGCAAAGAACAATTATCATCGGTTAATCACAAGAAATTAACGAAATTGAGCGTAAGAAACTAAATCTCGAAACCAGTACTCCAGATTTACATCGACATACAAATTCAACACGTACAAGTCATCATAATCTCAGATCTTAAGAACAAGAAAAAGAAAAACCCCAGTATTGCCAAATTAATCCTAAGAATCCCCAAATCAAAACCCTAAGATTTCAAACTTAAAAAATAAAAAGAAATTTTCACAATTGAAACGAAGATATCATAATTGAAATTCTAAAATGAACGAACATTGAAAGCGTATAAGAGAAACAAGAACTCGAACCTTAAATTTGCTTGAAGTTGAAGGCTTCTAAAAGCTTGAAAATTCTGAGAGATGCAGAAGTACTTTTCGTGTTTTTGAATAAAACGTGGATTGAGATGAATTGTGTCGATGCTATTTATAGAACGTGTGAAAGCCGGGGTTGGTTAGGATTTCTTTTACCGTGTGTGTTTTTTAGGAGTACGGTTCGACGGTTGATAGTAGCTCTTTTTGTGTTTTCTGAGTATCAAATTAACGGTGGAGATCTCGAGTTCTTTTTCTGACACGATCCGCGAGGACTTGTACTCGCTCTCTGATTGGTTCTTATTGTGTCACGAGGATTGAAGGTTCATTCATTAAGTCGGTGAATTTCCTCGTTGCGTTTTACAAACATCCCGATCCGGACCCTATGGACTATATCGGGTTCTACAGCATTATTATTTTTATAATTAATTCATAATTTAGTATGTCTTGAATATTACATAATTAATCCAGGTAACTCTAGCTAATTTGACATGAATTAATAATCATGCAATTGATGGAGAAAATTTCACTCATAAAGAGTATTTGAATGGATTATGGATTATTCATTCACTGTGTACTTCTAAATAAGGTGTTTACAGTTTGGTTAAAAATTTCGAATTTAATTGATTAAATAAATTAATTTTATTTGATTTTATTATTTTTGAATGTTAATAGTATTTGGTTTAATTATGATTTTTTTCAAAAAAAATCTAATAACAATCGAATTGAACGAATTAATTATATATATATATATTTTATTATTATACATACATAATTTATTTTTATAATCAACTTTAAATGTATTGTATATGTTCTCATCAAAATTTATTTTTGATTTACTTGTAAAATGAAATATATTGAAGGTGAGAACATTTATCTTATTGGTTTCATGTATATGAGTGTCTATGATCATTATTCGTGGGACTGAAAATGTCACTACATATCTCTTCATTCTAGACCAAAATATTGAATTTTGAAGCTTATTCATCGTAAACTTAATGATCAAAAGTTGTGCAATGTCAGTCATTCTAACAATTTTTTTTTTATTTTAAATGGATTATTATCACCTTTTCACATGTTTGAATGAATTATTTTTTTTATTTTTTTCTATAATCAAATCAATATCGATAACAAATAAATAATAAATATATATATATAATATATATTATATTTGATTTGATTTAATGTTAATAATTAAAGTTAATTTAATTTTGATTAATAACTAATCTAATTAACCCCTGAACACCCCTTCTCCTAAACATATGATTCATTAGATTATTCTTGATTTGTGAGATTCATGTGAGAATAAAAAAGATAATCCTGACATGATTATGTATGTATACAAATTTAAAATGATTTAAAATGGCAGAAGATAATTCAAATATATAATATGATATGTTTCGTAGGTCAACAACGTTTACAGTTATGGACGATACCATTTGAATGTTACGTTATGTATGTACTATATCTTAAAAATTATTCAGAGTTAAATGTTCAATTAGTGATTCATTGAATCCTACAAATAGTGTTGGTCTGTCTACATTTATATGTCTGTAAGATGTATTTTGTATAGATGACGATAATAAGGTGGATGTATGGTTATAATGGGAAAGATAATATTAGAAAAAAAAATACTTGTAATAAAGTGGAAGTGGCGTATGTGATGGACAAAATGAGAAATGCGAGAGTGAGATAATCTAGACATGTAAAGAAGAGATGCATAGACACTCCAGTGTGAGAGGTTGATTATAAGTGTATGAGGAGACAGGTAGATCGAAGAAGTATTTGAGATAGGTGAAGACGTAATATGATCGAAGTTCAAGTTATCATGGACATGACCTTAAATAGAATGGTATAGAGGATACGTATCAGGGAAGAATGTTATAGGTAGTGTTTTGTTGTTTTACTCAGAGTGATTGATGTTTGACATTGTATTAGTTATATTATTGTAGTTACAAAATCTATCTTGGTATGTTAGTGAGCTTCAATCATAAGACTTAAATCATCTTAAATAGAGTTTGAATTTTCACTTCCACGCAACTTCATTTTCAACCCTTCTCAAATAATCAATATCAAAACTTCATAACAATCTCATAATGTTGAAACAAATCTTAAAAATATTATTTGCTTTTTAAATTGTTTGCATCAATGTTTTCATAATTAAAAGGGCATTATATTGATTACGAATGATAATATTACCTATGATAGAGATAATGAGAATATAAAAAAAATTATATATATATATATATATATATATATATATATATATGAGGAATTCTAATGGGTCTTTTCGTGAATAGTGTCATAATGGTATAGTGGTGACATAGTAACAACAATCAACTAGTGTTTTGAAAATGAGAACAAATAATTGTTACAAAAATGATTGAGAAAAATGAAGCCGGCACAATTTAACAAATTTTACGAGTGTATTTGGATCAGTTCAGACAGTTTAACGATATATATATATATATATATATATTCATTTAATAAAAAGGTACATGTTAAAAATTATTTGTCGTTTACAATAAATTCGTATTTGAACAAACTCAAAAGGGACAAACATATATTTAACCTCAATTACTACTGATTTCATATTCAATCCATTCCACAATATTGTTTTTTTTCCCTTACTTTTTTTTTTATGATAGTAAAAAAACAAATAATTGTTACAAAAATGATTGAGAAAAATGAAGCCGACACAATTTAACAAATTTTACGAGCGTATTTGGATCAGTTCAGACAATTTAACGATAAATATATATATTCTTATTTAATAAAAAGGTACGTGTTAAAAATTATTTGTCGCTTACAATAAATACATCGTATTTGAACAAACTCAAAAGGGACAAACATATATTTAACCTCAATTACTAATAATTTCATATTCAGGCCATCCACAATATTATTTTTTTGCCCTTACTTTTTTTTATGACTAGATTTTGAAAACGTGGATTGCACGTTTGTCCCTTGTAATTACTAGAAAATATATGCATACTTAAAAAATTGAATTTCATAATAGAAAATATATTTATATTGCACGCTATTTAGTATAAATATTCCTAAATTATTTAAATACAGTTATAATATGTATAAATAGTTATTCATAAAATTAAGTAAGCAAAAGAGAAAGAGTGTAACACCAAATTAGTAGACTAAAAATAATAAAATAGCTAATTAATTCTAAAACTTTTAAATAACAAAAATTAAAGAGAGAAATAGTTTTAGTTTATATGAATAGAGGAACTCATTCAATAACTAACAAAAGTATAAACAGATCTATCTCTTTTTTATTGCATATGTGATGAACAATTACATTCATCAACAATTATTCATCAATAATTATACATTAGAATAACAAAGCGTATGCATCAACAAAAAGTAATTATGTTAAACAATGTGTCAGTGTAATTACATCCATCAATAATCATTCATTAACAATTATACATCGAAATAACTAAGTGTATGCATTAATATAGAGTGATTTTGAAGATAATTTTTTGGTATTTATAGTTACAACTTTGGAATTGTAAAATTCATTTAAAAATTTATGATATACATAACGTCTATGAGAATTAGATTGTTTAAAGTTGGAAATATGCGAAGTTTCTTACTAAAATCTAAATATGTGCCACATTAAGATGTATGGTAATTCAAAGGACATTTTTGTTCTTTAATGTTAAAGGATATTTGAAATATAATTTAATGTGTTTTGTTGTTACGAAACACTTCATCTACCGAATTTTATTTTAAAACAAAAAATAAATTAAACATTTTTTTAATTAATCCTACCTAGAAACATAATGGATTAATACCATATAAGTATTATTTAAGTAATATTTTATTAATTATTTCTTTCATCTAAATTAGTAAAAGGGTAGAATCATAATCCTATTTTAAAGTTAAGATCTTCTCACTTATAAGAAAAATAATAATAATTTCTGGACTCGCCCTCCGCTCGTTTGCCTATAGCAGTCAATACACATTTTTTTAAAAAAGTAAAAAATTATTAATAATATTGTTTTATGTTTAAAAATTAAAAGGAGTATATACTCCTTAAAATGAGTATAAAGAATCTATGAGATTTTTTATCCACATACTTTTTTTCTAGATAGAATAAATGAAATAATAAGTTCTAAATTTAATCAATAAAAACATAAAGTTAAGAATATAAAAATATTTAGTAATACCGTTTTTCTTCTTCAACGCTTCCTCTTCTTTCGTTATTAGGGTTATTTACAAATATGAAATCACACCATGATTTTATTTTCATACAAGTAGTAAATCATTTATAAATTCTAAAAAAACACATTAAATATAATGCATGCTAATTTTTGTAGATTTAATTATGAGAAAAAACTAATTACATAAATTATTCAATTGTGTTATCCAATAACCTAGAGTGTTCACTACGTGATAATCAACTTGTTATAATAAACATAATCTTTAAAAGAAGATTTGTACATCAGACATGGAAATAAAAATTTGTATTTTCTTTTTCATTGCCATTATTCAAGAAAAAGTAGTCAATTTACCTTCCTTCAACCGAAAAATTGAATGTAACAAACAATGAACTAAGTAAAAATATGCAACATTGAAATGAAAAATAATACTTACCAAACAACAAATAAATGTCCATGACGCCTTTAACCTTCTTGAAGAATGCATCGAATGCACAGAAATGATTAAATTCTAATTCAGATATTATATTCTCCAAGAATTTACCGTCAATAAATTAACAAAACAACATACATATTATTTCTCACACAAGTAGGTTTGTTTTACCTCATGAATGTTGAGCAGACATTTTGTCCAAATGAAAAAACTCTCTAGAATTATTTATCACCTGTTGCGTTAAAAACATAATTTTTCGATGAAAATAATGAAACAAAACATGTAATATTAGTTCTATCTATATACATATATGTCTAAAATTTATTGATCAAAAGAAACATGAAAAATTTGAAGAAAAATTTTGTGCGATAAATCAATTCACATGCTATTGTCATGAGAAGACATCAAAATAATGTATTTTGTTGGAAAAATCATGTATGTAATTTTATCGATGGAACTTTTCAAATTCTTTAACTTAAAATTAAATAAGAGATGTTTTGAAATTTTTGAACTTCATTTGTTTGAATGACTATTTATCTTTCATT